ATATATATATATATATATATAATAATCAATCCATCAATTTATCCTTTCACATCTTAATACATGAAGGCTGAATTTCAAGCACAACTCAATGGAATCAACCATGACAACAAGGCAATCGCTGTTTCAATTTTATTATCGAATATGCTAACCAACCTTTACCTCTTTACTTCTTGCAGCCCTGCAAGAAAAGCCTATATGATATTAACTATGATACAAATCAACCTCATCTGTTCCTACATTCTCTGTTTCCGATCATTCTAAATTTTCATTCCATCTCACCCTTCCCTTTCATCACTGGTTTTAGTAATACTACTACTACTATTAGCATTACTAAGACGACGATGACGACGGTGAATAAATCCTAAATATTGACCTTCATTGTTTATTCTGCCCCTTCCCTGTAATCTCTTCCACTCCCCTTCAATACTTCCTCTCCAAATCAAAAGTATGAGTTACGAGAGTTACATACACAATGATAAATAGTACTAGTAATTTAATAACACCAAAACAACCTACTTCCAACTTGCCTTCTCTAACTCAAAATAATATCATTCATCTACATATGCTGTTGCCCCGTTTAAATTCTTGATTAGAACTACATAGTCTATTATCTAGTTTATTAAAGTGACCTCTGTTAAAAATTTCAGACAAAAAACATATCAGGTTCAACTGACATGGATGCTTAAACAGTGAGAAATATTCTCAATGATACTCAGTATTTGAAATTTTCAATAAATATATGAATGAAAACCAGATCTGCCCGCCCCATAACATTTATGAGATAGACCATCCAACAAGATCTTAATTATCCTCCCTCCATATAAGTAAACAAAAACGTTTCCAAAAAAACGCGGCCACACGAAAAATGGGATAGATTGTTTTGCATTGGAAATACGTAAAAAATGAATCTAAATCAAGAGTCGAAATGATGAGTGGTTAACTTTTGCCCAGTGCTTCCAGTCAAAGTAAAAGTATCAGTTGGATGTAATTCAGAAACTATGCAACACTGCTTCTCATGAATCTTCAACAAGTTTCTCGCAATACCATTTACTGTCGCTTTACGATAAGTATAAAGAGCAATTATCTACTACAAAGAGAATATAAAAAATTATATAAAACCAATATTTTTTGTAAGCTTGTACTTTAAGAAAAGAGAATCTGGGTATTACCATAACAGCTATGTGAAAACAGTCCTCATAGTTTATAAATATCAAGGAATATGAAGGAAATTTTTCTCGAAATCATTATGTACGGTCATGCAAATGACACCTTCAGCGCGATTAAATTCATTTTTTACATATTGGCAGCACTTATATTTGAGAAAAGCGAGCCTTTACTAAACTTTTTATAATGATCAAACTTACAGAAGAATTTCACGTCCTCCGTTAAGGTCATCACATCTTTTGAGTTAGGGTCACCTCGTCCAGCATTTGTATTCCCATAAACAATGAATCGATATTTATGATCGTGCTCCAAATTCACAACTCTCAAGAAACGCTCACTGGGTTTGGTTTTTCTGAAGCACACTCTTTATCAATTTTAAGCTCAGCAAAACTATTTCGGACGTTTAACGAAAGAAACAGTTTACAGCAGTATTATGGAGATCATATACTTGCCTAATAGGACAATTCTCCCTTTGCTCCATAAGTCCGTCAGCATCTACTGAACATATTTCAACTGTGTAACCAATCAAACGACCATTATAAAATCGTGGTCTATCCCATCGTACAACAACAACACCACTGTCTTGCTCATTACGACCATTCATAGGGTATGCTTCCAAATTTTGTACCGGAGTGGGAACTAAAACATTTGAACCTATTTCATTAAAAATTAAGAAAGCTATGAAGATAAATGATAACATGTTTCGAGGATAAGGCTCTGAAAATCTATCATAACTGTAAAACTTTACTATCATACTCTAAAATTTTTCATTCACCTCCTTCCTTTGTTCGGAATGAAATCGGATCAGTGGGTGTACCATCATTCTGTCCATTCATTACAGCAATCTGCGCATAATTAACACTATTTGGCCGCAGACCAAATACAGTAGCACTCTTTTTTTCCGGTGAAATGATAGTGATGCGCTTATTACCGTTCTCCCCCGTTCGTGCAGTAGCAACTAAATCTTTTCTTTGCCGCCGACCCAACTAAAACGAACAGCAACTCACTGTTTAATTTAAACAACGGAAAAATTTTCAGAAGTAATAGTTGAAACGCAATAAAACTCAAATTGAAGAACAGAAAATTGTAGCCTGAATAGTTAAAATATAATAATGAAAATTTCACTTACCGCTTTAGATCTTTTTAATCGTAAACTATGTTCTTCATACGCTTCGTCTTCCTCATTATCACCTTCATCCTCTTCTGACCAAAAACTAATCTGGAACATCAATATTTAGATAAATATTCAGTGGCAACTGTATCAGAACTAACTGCAGTACAGTGAAAAAAGTGGATCTAATAGTTACCTTTATTCCTGTAAAATTTCCTTGTACTTGTTGTGGATCAATCAGATCCCATTCAAATGTTGCCGAAGATGAATCAGAAGAAAGAAGTCTAAAACCAGTAGGTGTATAGCCAGGATCACCTTCACCTGTTCTTCCTTCTACAGACTGCGGTGATACATTAGAGGTTCCGTTTTCGTTTGCAGCACGAACCTGCCAAATTCGGTTTAATAACAATATTACATAATCAAATCTGAACTTCAACCGTGCAGTATTTTCAACATTTCAACAACTGATTATAAAATATTTACCTGGACTTCATATGGTCGGAACGGTTCTTCTACTGGCAATTCTATAGTATGATGATCACTGTATGAATCATCGACAATTTCCTCCTTCCATTCAGAGTCGGATCCAGCCTTCATTAGACCAAATTTACAATCGAAGATGTCACGTTAAATATTTTGTCATAAATACAAACTCAATTGATATACTTGGTTACCAACAAAAGTAAATGTTGTTGCTCGTAAAATTATGAATCAAGAATTAACCGGCCGATATCGAATAATATAATGGAAATTGCGTCCATTCCAATCTTCTCTTGACATCGGTTTCCAAAAAACAACTAGATTTTCTGGTCGTGTGCCAGTAGCAGAAACACCTTCTGGATTCTTGTCAGGCACTCGAGCTGGTGTGATACAACCGCCATTGACATCTGTTGGTGCGCCATCACCGAAATCATTTCGACCAAATATGCGAAAACGATACTGAATACACATAGTTTCAAGAGTTCGAGCTCAGTCAAAAAAACGAAAAACTTAGAATCAGTGCACATATAGATGAACACCAAATAGCTTACAAAACCTTATGAGAAAAATATGAATAAGGCAATTCAAACTTTGCCAAATGGCCGAAGTGAAACGTCAATTGTTCCTTTGACTGTGCGTTGATTATCATCAACTGTTTGCAGCGATTCTGCTAAAGCAGGATGAGGATGCGTTAGCCAAACTACACCATCAGTTTCTTCATCTATTTGATACTGAGCCCTAAATTTTCCACTGATGGAATGCTCTCCACGAATCTTCATAATCAAATATTTTTAGCTAAATTAAAAAAATTACCATACCAAATCTCTTTTATTGGAGAGCTGAAATCTGCATCTTCTATGTACTCAAAGTTGATAGATGCAATTTGAGCAATGTCATCACACTTTGTGAGAAATGCCATGTGAATCGGGTTTGGAACATCTAAAATAAAGAAAAAATCAAACACTCAAAACAATAAGAAAAAAACACATTACTTATAATGTTGACAATAATTTCATTTTTCCTTTAGAAATGAATAAATAATGCTCCTGACTAAAATATACAATACAAATTATTAACTTTTTAATTTCAAATTGAGGCTTAAATATTAAAAATATTTGTGAATAAAAACTGTTTATTATTTCATTAATTCGTAATCCTATAAGTAAAAATACACGCCACTTTCCAGCAAATATACCAGAAAGTTATAAATTTGCAACAAAATCATCCCCTTACAATACAAGCAATAAGAGTTGTAGCCAAAGTTTAGTGCTGCACATATATCATTCTCCTTGTATATCGTACTTTATATCACATCATAATAATATAAAAAAATTCAAATGGCATAAGATTAGTGCGTACCATCAACTCCAACTTGAATTGATTTCTCGGAAGAATCCAGTGCAGTCCTCGCAATACAAGTATAATTAGCAGCATCATATCTTGCAGGATTAGTAATGATTAATGAATTTTTGTCGGTAACGAGATAATGACCAGACTGGATGTACTGCTCCAGTAATGGCTACAATGAAATGTATCATTATAATATAATATAGCGAACAGGATTACCATAACCCATTCTTTACGCATAAAAGGAGATATTATATGAATTTTACTTCAGTTATCGATGGAATGATCTCCATAAGTCTTCATAACCACACATTCCTTGCTATATTAGAAAATATATCATACCAGATCTTTTTTACTGAAGTGCTATTACATACGATTAATACTTGAAGGAACAAACAAACTTAAAGTTCCTTTACTTTTATCAAATTATATAACTAGATCTTATTAAACAGTGTAGAAAATTAAATCATTAACAAATTTTCCTTCCTATGTTCCATTACCTTTCCATTAACAAGCCATTCGTAAGTCACTTCCAGGTTCTCATCATGATCAGCTTCACAGAGTAATTCGAGTCTTTGACCAGCCAAAACTTTTTCTAGCCGTTTCTCGAAAGGTGTTAATCTTGTTGCCTCTGCAATAAAATTCTTTCGCAAAATCAATGTACCCATTTCAATTATTCTATCCCTAACGTTTACTAAATAAATAGTGCACCATATTTTATGTCACCAAACAAATTAAATCTTCAATCAATTCAATACTACTAATGATATGGATAACACTCATGTCCGAATTTTTAACATTTCATGTATTTATGAAAAGTTATTATCTCAAATAATTTCTTAGAGAAACTTGATTAGTTTTCAAATGAATAATTTACTCCTTGACTAGGAATAATTTCTTGAACAATATTTTGTAACATTACCATGTAGCTGTTTGACTCATAACAAGAATATATGAAATTATTTTCTAATAATAAAACTACAACACTCCGACATACCTCGTACAATGATGTGGGCTGTTCCTTTTGCAGTACCATGTTTGTTTGTCCCAACACATGTATATTCACCCTCTGCATCGCGACCGATTTCTAAAAACTATGTACTGCTGTAACTGATATAACATCTTTATATATTACTAAATTATAATACACTCAGTGATAAACATTTGAAACTTTCTGAAAACTACCAAAAAATGAACACCGAATATTTGAAAACCTCTCAATTCAACTATTCATGGATTAGTCAAAACTTAATTTCAAATCACAAACCATAAATAATAAGTCTTCCTACACCATCAGCATCTGCTGGTATAACATGATGTTGTAGACCGTGAAGAACTGTACCATCCCAAGTAATGTTAACGTTTGGTGAAGCGAAAAATTTACACGCTAATGTTAGATTGTGACCGATGACAGCTTCGACTTCACCTGGATCGGATAGGAGTTCTGGTTTGAAAGCTGAAAACCGTTAGAGAAATCAATCAAAGCTTGTTCACAAACAATTTTTAAAGACAAATTTGAGATGGAAATTCCTTACAGTTTTGGGATGGACTACTGACACCGAATAATCACTGCTAGCCTTCACTATATAATGTTCGAAAATTTAATCTCGTCTTCAGCTTTTATATCAAAACATCTTAAATTTAATTTGATAGAAATTGATTGCGACTAACCAAGAAGATTAAGGTAGAAATTAGCCCACAAGTACCCATGTTTGTTTTTTACTTTGCACTGATAAACAGCATTATCACCACTACCAGCCAGACCTTTCTTAACGTTCCTTAATGTCAGGATGCTTCCTGTTATTTTCCAATTTCTGTTTTCATCATCGTCTCGCGGAGTCATTTCTAAGCACACAGGTAAATTAGACGTTTCATAAAGCAATTAAAAGATCTCATTAATTGTAATGGAATAAACAAACTTACAGTGCATTTCACTTCATAAAAGAATACAGATGGTTAACAATTTGAAAACCTGATGCTCTAAAATCAAAATTAAGGGATTTTATTTTAGCATCTTTGAAGCATCAATAATATTATACTTAAAAATTGAAGAGTGTATTAAAGACTGCAATTGCAACATTTAGAGATTAATTAAAATTATTAGTAATGTAGTTTCTGACAAAGATGAAAGACATAACATAAAGTGATTTGAAATGTGTAGGAGACAGAGTTTAGGCTTCAAATATATACTCAATTCCAATCACTCACCAACACCATTTTTAAAGAATGAAACAACAGGAGTCGGCTTGCCATAAGCAGTGCAATCGAAGGTCACGTCTTCTCCTTCACTTGTTCTTTTATCTGGTGGTGGGCCTGATGGCCAATACGGCGCGGCTGTAACAAATTACATTTTTTATGCACGAAACAAACAAGCAAAACTAAATAAGAAAACATTTATGTGGATTAAAAACCTAAAAGAATTTATATCCGTTTCATAAGTAATTTAAACAATAGTTATATCCTAAAAGAATGAAAATCAGTAGCATGTTTGAAACAGATGTGAAAACGTCTAATGCAATATAATTTCTCATTAAGTTCATTATTCACTGTGTGTTAGATGTAGAGATGAAATAAATCGTTTCGATCATTTCTTTACATATAGAAATTCTTAGAAGTCAAATATGTCTAATTTTAAAGGAATAAAACAAACCTTCAACAACAACATTGAAACGGCGATCTAGATTTGACTGAGCTTTAAAAACACACTCATATTGCCCTTCTGTTTCTAAGCTAACATTGAAGACTAAAGTTTTTCCGTATGCTTCAAAGATAAATCGTGGATCATCCTCCGAAATATCAACACCATTATGTCGCCATACTGGTCGTGGTTCCGGACTGAAACAAACTTCTTTAAAAAAAATCATATTTAATTGAGCGAAGTATGGGCACTAAAATACAGTCTTCTTTACACTTTTTCAAAATTAGTGACTTCAGTACAACAAATATTTATTGCTGAAAAGAAAAAAATAGAAAAAAGGAACAGAAATGTAATTGAATTTGAGTCAATAGACAAATTGTATGAAACACGAAAAATCATAGTATGGTCGGAATGTTCTCAGCTGTCTGAGTAGTTGATCTGATAAGATTTATTTCAAATAATCCATGATTTTCTTTTTTTCAAATTTACGAAAAATTTTCAGGAAAACACTTTTTGAAATTAAAATATAAAACTGCATCTGGAAATGGCAAATATGGTATGATATTAAAAGCAGCAATCAAAAATCTTATTGTTCAGAAAAGGAAAATAATGATGTAAGAAGAGTAGAAGTAGTGAAAAAATGAAGTCTGAAATGAACATTACAGCAATAAAATATTATGCAAATTCATGCATTCTATTGTGCAACAGTACACTTTGTATTTTCGAAAACTGAATAAAACTATTAGAAAGTTTGATACAAAATTCTTGACATCAGATAACGAGAGCTAAATAATAATTCTGGAATCACTTTACTCAGAATGATTTGAGTAATGCACCTACAACACTAAGCACATTACTCATCACTCATCGCAAACAAAAAACTCTGCGATATAAAGCTGATTACTTTACGCATCTTATTTTCTTTTTCCTTCTACTTTTTCACAAATGCAACAAAAAAAGTGCAAAATGTATTCACATCTTAATTTCCTATTAAAATTATTCCAATACCTTTTCGTATTTGACAATTCCCTAAGCATTTAAATGTCCTCCCTAAGGATCGAATATTTGTTAAAAATACATTTAAAAGAGCAAGAAACAGGTGAAAAAAAATTACTTTCTATTGAAACTGCTATAATTCTAAAAAGAATTCCGTGACAAATAACTCCAGAAACACTGAATATTAAGCTTTACTGAATGTTTGTTATCGCACTAAAATACAAACTAAAATAAAAACAATATATCTCTTTAGGTATTCTGGATTTACTCGTATTAACATATGCCGTTTCCTGGTCATGTATATTTTAAGACAAATATTTCCAAAAAAAAATTACAAAACTTACTATCCACTAAAGAAACAGTGAAGTTTATGAGTTGTGCCTTGCAAAGCAATCGGAGAACTTTGGTTTACATATTGCTCGCTCGGAGGTATCGGTGATGTTACTGAAAAATGATTGATCTCTCAATAAAGCATCAACATAGTAAATTTGCAGTATTCTGCATGAACATCAATTAAGTAAGTCTGTCAAGTGTTAAATAAAAAGAAAACATTTTGCAGCCAAAAAGAGGAGCAATTACAACAAATAGAGAGGACATTTCCTTCATTATTGACCATTACTCATATCTTTGAACGCAAAGTATACCATTTTAGACTTTAATTTTCTACACATTATAGATTTGAGAGCTCGCAAATGAAATAATATCCCAAAATAATTGAAAACAATAACAAAAAGGACGCAGTGACTTGTTTTTTGGTATTGCTCAGTGAATAATAAGCGGAATATTACGGCTGCTAATATATCTTCACCTATGATATATATTAATTACAATTAATTCACTACAATAACCAAACTCATTAAAGTGAATTCTACATATTTAATTTGAATTTAAAATGTTACAATTACATATGCCCAATATTTTACGGCTGGCACGTGGGAAGAGTTTGGAACGAGAAATTAGATCTAGTTTTCTTTTCAAACCATAAATATTTCAATCTAAAAAATACTTCCTAAATTCCATTAAAAGCTGTTTTTCTGGTGAAAAAAAAGATTATAATCTATATTTAATTACGAGACCTGATGTGAAGATGCTGACACTATCTCATGTACAAAAGTAAATTTCAAAAGTATGATGAAACTATTACAGAAATTTAAATTAATATAGGTTTTCAAGATGCAGCGAAATAATTGACAGTTTGCTGTTTTTTCAGAAGCAAATCCTCTTGTGAGGAAAATGCAAAACTTCTCAGCTTAAAACGTTCAAAAAGCACAATGTCTTTTAACAGTACTTTGATTAATGCGCTGATCTCTTACTTTAAATTATAAATGTGCGTAAATATATTGATAAACTATCAAGTCCTCATTAGCAGTCAAAAGAAGTGCAAAAAGAATAGAAAAAAACAATGAATGAATGTGATTTTGAGAAAATGCAAAAAAAGTTTAAAGGAGCAACTTCAATCTAGACAGTGATGGATTGAAATAGCTCTTATATAGGACAGTAGTCTATTGAAGGAGTTAAATAGAACAGCACTAAATATATGAAAGCATTTTATATAGTAAGATGGGCAAGAATTTAAGATAAAAATTACTTATATTACAAGATATCAAATGCTCTAAAAGTATGATACCATTAAAAATCATTTGCGTGGCTGACACGATATCTGATTTCTTTTTGACATGATTTTCAATCTAATTTAAAAGTTACATCAATGCAGATTCTACTACAGAGTTTTCCTACTTACTTTAAAATATATAGGATGTGATGGAGAGAAGTAAAATCATACATGCTCGCCGGCGATTCTTTGTTACATCCAGGCGAAACTGACTACCGAATTTGTAATCTTTGAGTTTGGTATTTTCAGCGGTACAAGTGTAGTAACGATTTGGCTTGAAATCAGATTCTTTAACGTGATGAAAATAAATAGTACCCTGAAATGTTCTCATAAAAAGGCAGAACTATTGTAAATTATGACAAAACTTACCACAGCTACGCTTAATAATATGTACAGTTGAAGAAGCGTCGATATATAACTTGCTGTACTTGTTTTCCTCTTGCAAATCATCCAAGTAGGTTTCTACGTTCTATAAATACTGTCTGGAAGTTTGCTAATTCTCTCTCTCTGGGTTGTTTCTGTTGTTACTTTCGATGGATCTTGTGACAAAGAGCAGTAGTAGCAATAGTAGTAAAGTCAATCGATATCGCTATATTATTCAGTAAATAGTGTATAATTGAATGTTTGTTGAAAATTGAATTAATTGAGAATGTTACGCAATCAAAAGTATCGTAAGTTTATTTATTCATATAATAATAATAAATAAAGATGGAACTGTATGTGAAAACAGAAGGGAACGAAGAGTTGATGAATGAGAAGATGAGCATTATGGGAGAGTGATAGCTTGCTTTGCTGTCGTATGAGTGCAGGGATAGATGAGTGATTTTCACGTCACGTCTAGACAGGACAGAACAAAAGAAGTATTTATAGCAGTAGCAGCAGCAGCAGCAAAAGCAACACTATATACTGCACTATAATGTAAGCAGCAAAGGCAAACTTGTCAGAAAACACGATGTCTACGCATAAACGCACGAACAAGATGATAAAATTAGTAAAGTAAGATTAAACCAATATATAATGCCAGTTACTGCAAAGAATGCTCCTGCGATAAATGCATTGCGACAAGGCCATCACTGACATATGACACCTCGGATTAGTTGGCAATAGAGTTCGTTATGATGGTCTCTGTCGCAATGAGGCACATGCCACATGAAGAGAGGTGTGAGAAAGACATGTGTAGTAAGGATGGAAAATGAGAGAGTAACGAGGGATATATTGCGACATTCGATCCACCTTGCGGAGGTATGCTAGCAAACGTTCGATCATTTTATCTCATACAGTTTGAAGTGATAGATTAGTGCAATGAATGAGTCAAAACAGCATAAGAAAAAGTAATGCAGTGTGGTGCAGGACAACATACGATCTAACAAGTAGCAAGAAGTGTGATTACTGGATGGGACGAAAAGCTGTCTGCAAATGTTCGCATATTTAGCAATACGTTGCCACAGCAGTACATAGCAATCAGTATAACGCGTCCCTACAACCAAGGATTCAGTTGCATTAAATGAGCTAGGAGAGACAACCACTCCACCGTTTTCTTCGTAAAATAACTCAATCAGTTAAATTACTCTCTCAGTCATGCACATATACATTATAACAAGTCATGGATCAAAATAGATGCATGTTGTTTTCTTAGCAGCAAACAAGGCTACTTTTGTTTACTTGCGCGACACTTCAATCTCACTACACTTACGCTATCATAATCAACATAATGTGAAAAAATTATAGCGAGGAACAATAGCTTTCTCGACATGCTCCGACAGATTCAAACCGACTTTCTTATCATTTGATATCCATGACATTGCCATTACTTACTGTCCACTGATACATAAATAAATGCATATATACTACGACAGCAATACATACACACTAAGTTATCCTATATTTTCACTTTCCTTTTCACTCTCGCATTATAGTCTACATCAAGTGAATACATGGATTATTCCGGCACACTAATTTATTTTCACTTTCCTTTCCTATTGCATGCAGTCAGTAATCACTTTTTCTAAATGAATCTATTCTCACCGAAATTTCTTCTAAAACTGAATGCCGCTTTTATTTTGCATTCTAAATGCTTCCTGCAAAACGTATAAAACAGATAAGTGCCTAATGACAGTAAACATCCTCTCAAACTATTAAATAATCGCACACAACCACTTCTCAAACAAGGAACTATACTTGGTGTTCGTTCATTTGCTCTCCCAATCCATCCAAACTAAAACTTATTACATTCTATCCATTTTCGGATTATTCTTACCAATTAAGAAGAATGCAGTAAGCATATCATGCAATGCTACTATGAGAAATTCTTTTTCTGCACATAGCACCCAACGGATGATGAATAAAAGACAATTATTCATAAAAGAACCTTATGGCAACAGTCTAGTAGCATCGAAAAATTAATATAATCCTATCCATTTCAAAAAACTCTCACTGATCTAACAAAATTCATACTTAATTTGTGTCTAATATAATTTTAGAATATTAATCTTAATTGTAAATTACTGCAACTCTATCACTACCTTTTGGTATTTACATCTCCGTCTTCGAACCCACCCACCTACATCTAGAGTCAATGCTAGAATTTGTTTTCTTGTTACATAATTTATTTCGTTTCAATTCTCCATGCTATCTTCTTTTTCCTGATAATGATTACTGTAAATTAGACACAAGAAAGCAACCTGAATTTCACATATTATACATCAAATTGAAACCATTTCTGAACAGATAATATATATATATATATACAAAATGAGCCATTCAAGAAAAATGGCCTTCAATCAGTTTCTAGAATTTTAAAAGAATAACCATACATAAAATTGAAAGTTTTCAAATAGTTTAAAAAACTAAACTTTAATAAACAAGTAAAATTGGTAACCAGGCAAACAAAATGTGAAGAAAAAACTCAATGATGAAATATTGAGATCAATTAAGTATAATATCTAAAATTATTAGAATGATCATAAATCTTAGCAGTAAATGCGAAAAAAGTATCAGAAAAGCTGAATTTGGGCCTTTAAAATCATACTTCAATTTAAATGACAGAGTAAAACTCAGTATAATTAAATCCTAAAAGTTTATATGATTTTGTGATAGTAAACGCTTGTGATATTAAAATATGTAAGGAAAATAAAAAAATGCATCAGTCATTCTGTATCAATACTTGCTTTTCCCCACATCTCATTTTCCTTCTGACAATAAAATAATTAATAATGGCAGAAAACCAATTAGATCATGTTATTCTTCACAACAACTTCTTACACAAACAGTGGCAATATTTTGACAAGAATGATAAAAATTCTATAAAATAGCCAAAATGATAACTCCTCCATTTAAAGTAGTTTTACGCAAAATAGTGGTTAAGAAAAATAAGGGAGCTATTTTGTTCATTTAGCAAAGTAAACGTAAACTTTATCCATTTCATTTTCATAAACACATGAAGGCGTGATTTCCATATGGCAACCATTCCATAAACAAATTCAATTCAAAATGGTTGTAAACAAGAAAGAAAAATGAACCTCAGAGAAGAATAATAAGCATACCCAATCGACCACTCAAACAAAGCAACCCAAAACGATTCCTAACAAATAATATTTGAGTGATTGAGAAAGCAAAAAATGTCGAAATCACGTCAACATCATATCAAGTACCAAAACAATGTCTTGTGGTTATTAAGGCTACAACATCTGCTTCTACTCTATATCGTCCATAATATCACGGGATTAAATCAATATCGAAAATATTTGTAAAATTAGTGAAGCGCCATTTACCATTAGAGGGAAATTCGATATTCCAGTCTAAACTACCGTTTGATTGGCAAGTACTGGAATTCCAGGTACTGCATGTACTTTTCCGTCTTCCTAGCGTTAACAAAAACGCAACATTCTCTGCGAACTCTGCTCACTGTCCACTAAATTGATGTATTTTTTTATTCCCTAGATAGTACTTATCGCAAAAAAATTTAATTCTGAAAAGAGGATCATTTAATTAGGAATAAACTAAGTATATTAATCAATTTTTCCAAGACATACTCGATATGATGAATAAACACCAAAAATATGCATGTGTTTCTTGAAGTTCAAGAGAAGTATTCAAAAAATGGGACAATATGAAGACAAAATTCTGCGTAAATTTGAGCTGCTCTTACATAAAATATGATTAATTTCATACATAGATGAGAAAGGAAAGCTAGATGTATCTGAATTACTAATATCAGAAGTAAAACTTTTTCCATGAAACCAATATTTACTCACAGACGTTTCATCAGCACCCAGTCGATACATAAAAAACAAGCACATTTAGTACAGATCGATCACTCCTGGCTTAAAGTAAGTTACTTTAACGAGCAATAAGGCTTCTTCCTGATAAACAAAGGATTAGGTCACTACCGCTATAAGCACTACTACTATACTGGTAATAAGTATCACCGGTACACCAGCACCTCTAATCCTTTTGTGCACATTTGAAAAAATCAATACATTAGAACGAAAGAAAGTAAATGTGGACTGAAAAATAAAAAAGGGGCACTCGTTTCACAAATCAATTCGAGAGACACTGACTGTGTCTCGACAACTTTTATTCCATTTTTCAAGTTCATCCTATGATATCGTTTTTCTATGAAATGCTACCCACTAATCACATCAAATATTTATTCCTTCGACACTTTAAATACATTAGCAACTTTTCTAAACAATTTAATTATTGCTCCAGGTGCGGGTGGGTCCTCCTCAATAACAATTAACACACAAGGTATTGGTATGATTAAATACCATTATGCTAGAATCACTACAAAAGTAAACTTGACTAGTCAACCAAATTATCCAGACATGTATTTTGCAAAATAACTCTCTATCATTTTTAGAAACAATCTTGAAATATTATTTATTACTAACTATTAATTGTAATTCATCGTGATATATCACCAAATGCCGATCCCATGTCTTACTTAAAGCTTACTTAAATTAACTGTCACAAGAAAATTTTGTATGACTAATATTTGCAACAATTACCTGCAGTGGATCAGAAAAGCAGACAACTAACTGTAGTAAAAAGAACGTTAGAAAAGTGAATAATCAAATTCGACTTTTTAACCAAAGGCAATTATACCTCAAATTTTGCGATCATAAAGTGAAAACAAATTAGATTGGAAATCTGGATATTATTAGTTGAAAAACTAAAAAATCAAGCAAGCAGCTACAAATTTATAATTCTGGTTGTTTTCTTTTTCAGATCCGAAAATACTTTTATACATTTTTTCGTAGATGTCGCAAACTACTAGCAATATACTTAAACGGGAACGCATTCTAAGTTCTTATATCATACTGATAAAGCTTATTGCAGATTCCAAACTGGGTAGTGTAACCATCTATAATTGTAAGATCAGCAAGTGTCATATATTCATAATTCAGTTATAATGGAGAAGATTTTCAAAAGTTAAGAAAGCAAGAATGAAAATCCTCCTTGCTAAAAATGCAAGCATAGTAAAGTGTGAAATGCGTGAAGGAAAAAAGACAGGAAGCAGACATTATTGCAATTAATTTAAAACACATCTCTACAGAAATGAAGAGAGAAAAGGACGAAAAGCAATGCTTGAAGCAAAGTTTTGAAAAAAAATTTGAAAGAAGCAGAAAGAAAATGCTTTCCACAGATAACAACTAGACGATAAGCTGAATCTGAACTGAAATGCATTCAAAACGACTAGCGATTAATCATTCACGTTGTAAAACACCAACATTTCCCACACACTGATTTAAGAACAGATTAAAACTGATAAACAGAAAAGAAAAATCCTGAACTATGTAAGCTGTAACTATAGTAACTGCTATTTTAAGAACATCAAATAAAGCAACGATTATACTTTACAACACCTGGCACTTTCCCAATCATTTGATTGAAAAAAATGATAACTGCTGATAAGAGGATAAAAATTCAAGTGTGAGAAAGATGAACTATAATGTCTTGCGTGAAATCACAGGGATGATTTCAAAAAATGACTTTCTTTCTCAAATATTTGGCAATCTATCTTCTGTGAGAGCAAATAACAAAGCTGATATGGAAAGAAAGTTACCAAAACATAACCTTGGAGGCTTTCAAATATTCACATTTCCATACTTCATCATATTATTTTCTAAGAATACAACAATTAACAAACAAAGAATAAATGATTTTACTTTAAATCCTTGATATTTCATATGAATCATTCAAATGTGTCTAACAATAACACACAGAAAACTGAAATTACTGATTTCAGTGAGTAATGAATTTTCGCAAATAACTTGAAAATACATCATCACCATGAAAAATTTTTGTTCGAAAAGTAGTAAACGTGTAATTTCTCACCGCACATTTAACTGATAACTCTAACAATCTTGAATGTAAGTTATTTAAATGTATATTATAGCTGGACAGTTTTATGCAACATAACAAAGGTTTCTTCGAATTATGACATTATTTGATAGATTTTAAAATGAGTTGCACTAGCAAGAGTAATGAGTAGTAAGATAAAAAGTTAAGATGAATTCAATATAAGAATGCAAATATGCCAAAGAGGTCACTAGAAGCACCAATTGGCTACCATGCTGAAATCATTATGGTAATAGATTTCAGCATGGTAGCAAACGAAATATGAAATAGACACTTTGCAGACAAAAAAGTGAGAAGATTAAGGAAACAAAGAATGGTAAATGTTTAAGCGATATATTATTTTCCTAAAAAAGTTAATTGAGAAGGTTTTGACTGATCTATTTGCAATACAAATAAAGTGAAAATTTTTAAAGCAAGAAAAAACAAAAATGAAAACGACAGGGTTCTTTTCCCCATAGGACTACTTGACGACTGATTGCGAACTGATGAAACGAAACGAACTAAAGTAGATTAGAATCGGAACTGAAATAAGCCTTACTCGACTTTTCTAGGCTCTCTTTTCCCGCTTTGACTCTTTACTGCATTAGTGTCAATTTCCACGCAGCACCCTTAGACATTGATTGCGATTTAGCCAATTCTCTTGTTCGCTGTTGAATGTTCCAAACTACATCCAATCTGCTAACAAATCAATGCCTTTTAAGTTCGTTGCAGAAAGCCTCATTTTCTCTGCCATCTATGGAATTCTACTTTAAAATTACAAAGAAAACCACTTTCCATAAAGTTTGTCCTTACAACAGAAATTTTAGTATTCAACATATGAACAGAAATAGTTGAAAAAATACAGTAGAGGAACTACATATCCAGTCTAATTATAATTTATTACTGCTGGTTAATGCTAAATCTTTATGATATCATTAATTTTTGCTTCGTAAATCATCAAAAACAATCTCTCATTAACTTAAATGAAAAAAGCTTGCTTACTGCACCTGATTAATTGCCAAACTAAATTAACTCACTTTAAAACAAGGTGTGAAAAGTTATTTTTGAATCATTACTAAGAATTGGTCATTTCTTCTTTAGTATTCAGTGTGCATAAAAAATAAAACTCATATTATTCTATTACATATATATTAATAGAGCAATTTACGAGTAATATCAACTTAAATATTTGAAAAACTTTCTGTATTCAGCATGAAACATGACATAAAATTGTAACGAGTAATCAACGATGGTTTAGTACCTAACCTCTGGTATAATGAAACTAGAGGAAGTGATTATTGTGTACTTATCAATTTTTAACTTTAATACGCAGTCATTTTTTTTCGTACTTATGTTTTGATTGCAAACAATAAAGCTAATGTCGTGAAAGATTTGATTAGCACAGCATCGGGCAAAAGAAAAATTGAATAGTAATAATTGGTTCTGACCATAAATTAATTATTAGAACTGCAGAAAATGTAAAGAAATCTACACAGAAAAAAGCTTTTGCTTCATTGACTGAAATCAAATTTCTAAGGTGAAATGAGGTGAAATCAAGAAATGATACAAATAAATAGAACAAAATACTAATATGTGAAGAAATGCTTATTTAATTCCAGGAAACTATGAAGGAGTACTGTTAAATGGACAAATTTTTTGGTGATAACCAAGATGAATTTAAATTGGGCACACTAAAAAATTTCACCTCATTTCACAAAATAAATGATTAACAAAAAAAAATTTAAAATTAATACATTTTTGTTTTATTATTAATAGAAGTTGATGTAAAAATATGTAAAAAAAGAAAGAAACCCAATAATACGTAAATGCAAGCAGTTTTTCTAGATGCTAAATGTTAAAAGAAAAGAAAAACTGCAGAAAAAATGACAGATTAATAACAGAAAATGAGCTTTAGGTCAAATTTTCATCAATATATCTACATGAATAATTGATCAGAGTATTTCGGAAGTCAAAACTATGACAAAAGAAGGAGACAAATTGTCAGAAGCTAATGTTAATGAATTCAATGCGTATTTCTTAAAAAAGGAAGAAGGATCAAAGACTGCAAATATTCGTTTTGATACGACTTCAACAGATACAAAAAGCAACAAATGAAATGAACGCAATATTGTTTTCTGGCATATAAGCACTATCTTCTAGCAGAAAAAACGAATATGACAAAATCTTGATCATAACATGCTTAACCTTCAACTCCATAAACATACAAAATATTTTTTTGAAGTGTGATTGTCATGAATTATCAGTCTATTTTACATTACTACATACCTAAATAACTTAAGATATTTGTCAATATATAAAACAATCAGAAGTTACTTGTCTTAAAACAATCTACAAAGCAGACGGTATGCTTTGTCGATTAACTATCAGCATACATATATACTACTATTCAGTTGATTTTGCAACAGCTCAATTCACGAACTTTAAATACCAGTGAAACTTGAATACAAGATAACTATTCAGGCTAAAAAAAAGATGAAATAATGCATTTAAGCTAGAAGTTAAATGTTTTAAATTTTAGAATATTTAATAAGATACCAAGACGGGGAAAGATGGAAACTAACTAGTTTCAGATTTCGACTTGCACACCCATAAATCAAACATGTCGAGCTAAATCTCTACTAAATAATTTGAGCGAAGAAAAATCTAAAAAAGAGCAAAAGTTTGAAATTCAAAAGGATTAACGATGATGATGATAGCAAGCTAAAAATATATGGGAAATATTCCTGATCTAAATTGACTTGGTAGTAGAACATGAATCTATCTGTTTGCATTTAATGACTGATTGATTGTAAGTGTGAATTAATTGAATGTTTTTATATAAACGTGCTCGTACTTCAAAACATCATTTGCTTAAGGAATTGAGCTCATGATTTCTGACGACGGAACGAAAGAAAAGTGATATTTAAGCTCTCATTGCTGTGATGTATAAAAACATCCCTCTCTCTCTCTACATATATATATATATCCTTCATAACTTTTTCACCTCGTTGTATTAATCTCGAAGATTTTTTTCTTAAATGTACATTACTACTGCACAAGCTATTTTGCCCAAACGATACAGGCAGCTGAGAAATTATTATCAGCCGAGAACACTATAACAAATATTATCAGTAAGAGTGTATGAGTTTATATATAACTAATTCAGTGTTACCATTGGATTCTGCTTCAGCAGGGATTAGCAGATAGTCATGAATAAGCCCATTTTAATACCTTTTAGCAAACACTTCAAGCTGTACATATTTCGAACGTAGCCATAGTGCCGACAACAACGGAATACAATAAAAATTTTATAAGTAAGAAGGAAAACTAGCCAGTTCGTTAGTTGATATATGTGAACTGTTAATCGAGTCGAAAGATCCTTCCTCATCACCCTAAAATAACGATTGCCACCACCGAAACAATTAAAAGGATATTTCCTTAAACTTTTTAAAATCGTTCCCCTTTTTCTCATTTGAACTTCATTTCGCTGCCTTATAGAACCATAGGCGAATAGTCAAAATCAGACTTAATACTCATGCCAGCAGTATTAATCACGTATCACACGTAGTCATCAGTTAAAAGCGAAGTTGTGTGTCGAAATGTTAACATGATTTTTCTTGTTGAAAAAGTAAATGAGATATAAAACAAGACCTTGTGTGAAATCTGTACTGCATGTATTTTGGAATATTGTTCTTGACACAGTAGTATGAAATTGACTGTGAATTTTCAAAAATAATTTTCACTTTCTTTTTGCTTCTAAAATGTTCCATTTTTTCATACAGTAAGGCAAAAAAGAAAATGAAGTTATACTTTGAAAATCCAGTAAACTCGAGCAGGTGGATTAGATTCTGGTGGAGTGCAATTCCGCTGATAAGGATCGCCTAAATCAACACGGACAATTTCTGGCTCAGCTTTTGGAAAGTACCGTATCCCTAAAATTGAGATAGATATTTAAATTTAGAAGACTAAGAAATCGAAGAAGAAATTAGTGAACAGTAATTAAATCTTTATAACTACAATTCAAAGAGGAATAAAAAATTCCGTAAAGCTTTTCGGGAATTCTCTTGTCATCATTTGACTGACCTTTTCTCGCTTTTTAGACTCATGAATGTCTTCAAATGATGATAAATAAAAGTGGAAAAATTCTTGTTATTTATTAATCATTTTATAATTACATTTGTATTTTCTAAAAATGAGAGTTGGGCGAGTGGACAGAAATACCGACATGTTTGCTCAAGAGTGATTTTTTCCGAAATAGCAGTGCCATTGTCGTTAGTTGCTTCACACTGATAAACACCTTCATCAGCAGCGGTTAATTTAGAAAATACAAATGACCCTTCACCAGGGCGTTGAGCGATCCGATCCGAATACATTGCTAAATTGAACGGTTTACCGTTCTTTTTCCATTTATATCTATAAAGATCAATTTTTTTGTCCTGTTTTCTTATATATCCATAACTTACTCCTAACGAGTTATTTACTTTTATATTCCATTATTAAAACAGGTGACATTCCACGTAATAAAACATGCCTAAGTTTTTTCATAATTACATAATATAACTCTCAATATACTCTTTTAGTAACAACAATGATTGCAAATAATTCTAGCATGAATGTGATGTCAATGTACATATTTGCACAGTAATTCAAAAGAAACTGAGGTAAAAACATACCCAGGGGGTGGATTACCTTCAGCGATACATCTTAACGTACGTTCCTTTAAATAATCTAGGTTATGACCATTAGAAACTTGAGTTGATTCCAACGTAAAATAAATAGTAGCATCATTGGGTTCATGAATAAAACGTGGTGGCATTGGTATTGTAGACCAATCAATTACGTTGCACTTGGCTGTAAATCTTTCAATATAATGAAACTTTTAGACTTCAATACATCAGAGTTATGTTAATAATTTCGATATGTCTTCTTCTCAGCAACTCTCTTGACTTTAAATCTTAATAATGTTGATAAAATCAAAGCCAAAGATTAAAAATTCTTCGATTAAAAACTTGACTTACCAAGACAAATAAGTATCAAAACCCGCAATCCAAAATTTGTAACACCCTTCATCAAAGCCATCACAAACCCTGAAAATATCATGTCTATCCATCATTTTCTGCATTTAATCATCCGATACATGCTTCACGATCCACGAATACAAACAGTCAATATATTCATTACAAGCTAAGGAAAACCAAGAAATGAACGAATTTCAGCATTAATTCATTTACATCTTAGCTTTAGTATGAATAAAACAATTATTAAGAACTGATGAAAATAAAAACTAAAAGTGCCAATAACATTATTTCAGAAGGTTCTCATAAGTGTGCGGAAATTAAGAACGTATTGAGAGGTTACAAGGTTAGAAATATTGAATATAGAAAAACGCACCCATTTGGTTCCACAAGATTTGAAATAATTCCATACTTTTAATTACAAAAAAGAAATTAAAGTATCAATAATTACTTAAAGCATTTTTCTGTAATGCATGTGAATTGTTTGTTAGAAAGGAATTTCTTTGAATCGAAAGATTTCAATAGTAATCTAAACTGATTTTGTCAGAAAGTGTTGGAAAGACTACCAAGATACTAATATATTTCAAAATTATCACCGAATCAACAATCACAGGATGCATCCTGAGAAGAAAGTGGAGATCGATGAACTGTAGAACTGCCCATCAACCTTTTTTCTCTTATTTACTATTACATCTTTTCAACTCTTATATAAAATACTATTTACAAAGGAATTGTTACTATCAAGAAGGTTGACTAACAAATAATACGATTTGTTTCCCAAAAAATTTGTCAAAACATTCCTGAAATACAGCGAAAAAATATCTGCGTAAATCCTCATATCAAACTGGATTTACTTTCAGCTAAATTACAACATTTGTAGTAAGATCCAAAAAGCAGATTAAATGTAGTAGTTTAAAAATGATCACTATAATGATCACACAAGTGCTACTTGAAGATAATGCAAAGCTTTTATATAAAGAATAATCATTCAAAATCTATTCACAAAAACAAAATAAAAAATGATTTTAGTAACTAAAATGAAACGAATGGTCAATTCATTTGTATTTGACTCACTTAAAAAAATTTATATTTGAGAATGAAAGACAATTTAGCAGTCATTTTAAAATTAATTTTTCCCACCTCAAATCAAGTTGTAAATTTATAAATTAGTAATTGTTATAAATCGTCGTCTTTTGATAAATAAATATAAAAAATATACACAAATATATAAACATATAAATATCATCATTAAAACTCACAACGTTTGGATTACTGATTGCATGTCGATGGTATTACAGAACAGACTAAGAAATTTCTCTGATAAGGTATAGGAAAGATGACTAGATAAATAACTTCAAATTATCAATTACTAATTTTCTATTCATTGGCAGAGAATATTCGAGAGCATAGATGATTGATGACTAAAAAACTTCCATTATTTTTCCTTATTTTATGATTCGATAAATAATATTCAAACATTTCCACATTTAATAACTTTTTTGATTTTTCGAAAAATTTCATGATTTGATAAATACTTTTCAAATGTTTCGAAAAAGTAAAATAAAAAGTGAAAATAATAGCTGAAAATTCTTACCTACCTAAAAAAACTATTACGGATTTTTCGTGACAATTTAGAATGCTATAAGTTAATTAATTGAACAATAACTAAGTGACTGCAGCTCAACATCGGACTGATCGACTGATAAAATTTGCTAACTGCCATCACAATGACTTAAATTTCAAACTATCCAACAAACCAAAGTTGACCTAAATTTAAATCCAGCGAAAAAATAAGTCGGGTTAAAGATTGGTAATTGAAATGATGAACGTATCATTAGTGCTGTCGTATCAGCAGTAAAAAAGAAAAACGATTACAAAGTATGCAAAATGTTACAATTACATTTGAGGTCATGGTTTTTGATCGGAACATTATGTATTTAATCGCTAACTAAAATAGATTTATCAACAAGTGGTATTCGTAAATGTATCTGCTTAAATAAATGATAAATATAGCAATCACGACTGATTATACTAATTGGTAAAGAGATTGAGGATAACATTCATTCATCCGCTGTTCCACATAAATTATGGGAACTAAGATAAATGTATAACTTTTTTAATCTTAATGATATTGAGATCGAATAAGTGCTTTAACAAATTATATATGAACTAAATTAGTGAAAGTATACTTGAGAAATAAAAGTGAGCATGTAAGCTTGGGTATGTGTTCAATTTCAAACTAACATTATTTTTAAACGTATTTAAAATTTAACTCTGTTCCTCAACGATAACAGAATGACTAAAACTACTGATGATGACAAAATCACTCAAACTTATAGCATTAAATTGAGATTAACATAACGATAGGAAAAGTCTGTATTTGATATTTATGCATGTAGTAATTGATGCAAAACACATTGTTGATCATATATATAAGTGCTGAAAAAAAATTCTAGCTTAGCCATGATAAATGTATTCCATTTTCATGTGACTGATATACTGTTTGCTAATGCATTCTGAAAATACAGTGCAAACTTTTTGTAGATCTTTAAAAATCATCTCAATTTCTGGTGCATAAATAAAAAATTAATTAAATAATTTTTCATGCAATACTTTATTAAATGAATGTAAAGATAAATAATCCAAGGAAAAAATATCAATTACTGAGAATAACGTTTGTTCTAGGAAATTTTATAGAAGTAAAAAATAAAAGAGCAATTCTTGATAAATTATAAAAAGGATGATAAAAATTGAACAATACTAGATGATAAGTATAATCGAAGCATTTTTTAAAAAGCTAATAAGTAAGACCAAAAAAAAAAATGAGTTGAAGGTTATGAAAAAGAACAAAAAGTATTCTCAATGGTGTCAGAAAATATAGCACATATTTTCGTTTGTTTCCACTTCTCATCTATCCAGAAAATGGATGAAAAAATTGAAAAAGTTAGTTAATAATAATGTCAATGAGAATAGCTTGATATCTTTACCAAAAATGATGCATATAAGAAGAAAACAAATAATGGCAAGCATTTTCACCATTTGCAAAAGTGGTAATAGCAATATCAGCAGTATTAATAGCAGTTTTAGTTCTCGCTAGTTATATTCATTCTTAATAAGAGAATCAGTCTGTGGCATAATTGCACAGGATGATTTCAACAATGCTAATTTAATAATTGTTATTGCTTCCTTAATCTTGAATTGTTTTATTATTACTACAGCTTTTTAACTTATAATAATCTTAATCATCTTTATAGAATCAGAATTTTCTTTTACGGCGAATGTTACTGATTTACAAAAGATTACAAAATTTTCGCGATATTTTTATCTCTACATAATGTGCAAAATTTTGTCATCCGTTGTTTGCTTATCAACTAACAATCTGAATGTCTCACTTTGTACCACTATTTTTACTTCAGCTGAGTTTTTAAACATTCATAGTATTTCATTTGTTAATTTTAATGAAAATTCATTTATTACTTCCTAATTATCTATGTAAATCCTAATTACTGCAGTAACAGCTAACAGTAAGTATTAATTTATCAAAGTCTTCCGGATTTTGCAAACTTAAAGATTCAATTTAAAGTTGTGTTCTATTTGTGATCATAGTGACTTCTGTATCACACACTTGTAAGGTATAAAAAGAAATGAGGAAGGTAAGAAAAAGAAGGCAAAAAAAAGGTAATAAAATTATATCAAATTAATAAAAGAAACCTATTTTATAAGCCAATCTGTGACTATGATATGAACGATTGGTAAAAATGGAATAATATATTATATGAAGCGAAAATAATCAGAAGAGCTTTTACTTCATGAAAGCTTGCAATTAAATAAATATATATATTAACATGAAAAATCTTTGCGAAAGTTTTCATTTTCAAAAAAAAAAATGAATGAGAGAATGAAGTGCAAAAGGTCAGTTAGATAAAAGATAAATGAAGAATAAATATTTATCAAAGATAGATGGATGGAGGCATCACATACCCATTATTTAAACGCATAAATAATGCTAAGAAAATATTTATAAAAGATATTCACTGATGATACTACAAATTTTATAACTATTTTCGTCGATAAATTTACAATATCAGGTTTTTGACAGAGATAACTTTACCCGTATTCCATGCTCAAACTAACAGACTGACAAGCTTAACTGTAAAACTAAACATTATCATATGCTATGCTTTGTAACAATACACTTGTTCATTTATGCAAAAAATTTCAAGTGAATTAATGTAACAATAAAAGGTGATTAAAAGAACTGTTGAATAATGTATATATTGAAAAGCAGTCACTGTTTTGACTTAAAAGTAAAATGGAACAATTGAGCATTATTGTATGATGTAAAATTGAAAAAGGTATGGTATAATACAAAATTGTAAAAGGTATAATAGGTTGAGAGCAAAATGTGTCAGTTCTTGTTATCAAGTCAGTCTTAATTTGCATGTTAATTTTACTGATGTTATAGTTCCTATCACCAATTATGCAAATTAATTTTGAGCTTTTGGCCTTGATATATCAACAAAGTATTGGTGAATTCTTTCATTATATATAATTTTCAATATGTAAATGCCAGCTTTTTGTTTTTGTGAATTTCTAATTCTTTGAAAAAATTTTTTGGTTATTATAAATTGAAAAATGAGATTACATTTAAAAAAATGTATTATATTTGATGAAAAGTCAATTCCAAAACATTTTTTTGTTACCACTGATTTACATTATTTTATACTTGACATTTTATTGTGAACATCACTTGCACTTGACAATGTTGTCATATTAATTTTTGATAGTAAATAGTTAAATCCTTAGTAAGCGTCAAAATAAATCAGCAGTAATGATCAAAAAACCGTTCGATTAAGCTCATTTTCTGACCATATAGATATGATTGTGGCAAAATTCATCGATGCGTAAAGAATTGATTCAAATAATGAATTGGAATACCGGTTATATTGAGCTTATACTACGATTATTATTATTAATAAACGCAGCAAGTGAAAGATAATGAAAAGGTCGCATTTAATTAAGTCAACGAAATAAAAAGCGTAATATTAAATTTGTGAAATGAAG